CCTTGTCACATCTTGGGCAGTAAAACAGCTTCTGAAAGAACAAGGAAAGGCAGCACATAGGGGTCCTGGTGCCTGATCGTCACAGCGTCACAAGCCCTGCACCTGATACAGTGTTTTCCTAGACAAGAAAAGCTTGTCTGTCATTTTTTTTAAATAGGGATAAGTTAATCTTTTTTATTTTAAAGAGAGTAGTAAAAAAAAAAAAGAGCAAAATGTCAACATCACAGAAAACAAAGCAAGAGCATAAAAATGATACAGGATTTCAAACAAAATGATAAGTACAAACACTATGTTTAGGAAAGTTGAGGTTATACGGTGCATGTCAATGCATCTATTCATAATAAAAATAATCAAAAATCCCAGCCCTTCCAGAGTGGGCCACACTGAGAGGTGACATTGTTTTAAAGACTTTCAAAGAGGAAGTGATGGCAAATAATGCACTCTGCAAGTTCCTTAGTCAGCACAAAGTATACTTTCTTTCCCAATGGTGAACTCATCAAAATCTGAGAAGATTATCACATCGTTCCATGAAGGAAGATTTGTTTGTATCTCGATATATGGAGGGTGGTAATGTAAAAATTAATAAAACAACTTGTGTTACCTTGACCCATTGCTTATTATTTTACAGACCAATTTTTCATACCAGATGACAAAATGTCGAGAATATTGCTAGATAGCAAGGTTTTGTGCATGATGAATGTTTAGGAAATGTTTTCAAATTAATGAAAGTTCTGATTATATTGTATATTTTACTACTTTAAGTAAATCAGTATTTCATTAATAAATGTTCAGGTCAAAGGAGAAAGCTATTTAGTCAGGTGGTAAAAAGCATTATCCATTTGTTAGGAGAAAAACAATAACTCTAAATTTTAGCAAAATCGTACTACCTTGCATAACTAGCCTGGTAAGTCCAATTAAAAGGCTCCAAAGGCAATGTCTCTGACATGATAAAAATCAAATGCTAAATTTGTTTATATTAAGAAAATATTCAGAAAATTGGAAAGAGAAACTAGAAAAGATTTAGTGATAAAATATATTTTAAAAATCAGCCACCCAACCAATCAAACAAGTGAATAAAACAAAAATTCTACAATGGAGGGAAAATATTTATAATATGTCATGGGCCTTAGCTATTACAAATAGTGAATTATGTTTTACCTAAAAATTATGGTACAATTACATGTTACGAAGTAGTCAAGATTCAAGCATTTTGACCAAGAAGAGTGGCCCATTATGGGTGAGGAATGCACCTGCTGAGTGGGACTGCAGGGGAGCTGAGACTTCCTCTTCCTGCAGAGGACTCCGTCAGTGAAGCCTGAATCCCACAAGTCCAGAGCAGTGGAACAAATATATCCCCATATATGGAGGGGAATGCCCAAAGGAACAACAAAAACAATAAAAAGTTTAGCTCTGAGAGTGGGTCCAGCGTACACAGAGAGGAACTGCATCTTGTCCTTTTGAGCTCATTCTATCTTTGAACAATGCTGTTCACATTATCTCAATAAAAAATTAATTTAGTTTTCAGCCAAAGCATGACTAAGAACAGCAGTTTAAGAGAAAACTAAGGGCATTGCTCCAGATGCTATAAGAAAGTAATTAGGGCTTTTATGTTTGGTAGAGCCAAGGAGAGCTGAAGTCAACCAGATTACTCAGAGAATTCAAGTCACTTTCTCCTCCTGATCTTTCACTGTACAAAAAGTCTTGCCTCTACAGAGGCAAATGTTTGTATACCCAAGCAAAACTTTCACCAAGAAGCATAAATACTCTGCAACAGTTGAAAGAAACATTCACAGTTCATAATTACTCCAGATTGAAAGCCTGGACTAAACTAAACAATGAGGGAGAATGCTAAAGGATCAGTGCAAACAACTCATTATTCTACAAAATGGTGTTTTCCTTTGTAATTTGTTTTAAATTTATTGTTTTACTAAAATATGTGGGTGCTAATGTTACAGTATCTGTGCTTAGCTCCCTTAATAAACTATTTTACCTTTTATGTAAAGAGCACATTCACATGTGGAAGCACGTAATTCTCCCTTCATCATGGGTAAATCCTCCCAGGGGTTCATCTTACAAAACAATAACTAGGGGCCCAGCTGAGACAAAATATTTACCTAAATTTCACTGAAACATCCACTAAAAATATGTTTCCTTCTAAGAAGTGGACTAGCAAATAAAAACCTAGGATGAAATTAAAAACATTATCTACACCAAATTGCCCTGGTAGATGCCAGAAGGTGGTTAATTGATTTACAGGAAATAATTTCACTGGGAGAATATTTCCACTTTAATGAAAGCACTTTAGGTGAAGTAGTAGGCACAGAAGCCAGGGTGCAGAATGCTACAGAACAACTCTGAACCGAAGAGTTATGGAGTGGAAATGTAGATAATTATTGATGAAACTGGACTACAGTAGGACAAGCAAAATGATGTCGGAGTAGGAAGATTTGGGGTGAACATAGCTGGGAACTTTTTTCCTATTTTTGTTCTAAGATGAATTTTCCTCCACATTCATTTGGAAGTTCATAAACATGATTTCAAAAAGGGGGAAAGTCTCCATATGTAGGAAAAGGAAAAGAGAAGTAAAGAGGAAAGAGACATGGAAGGAGGGAGGGCCTAACCGAGTACTGAGCACTTACAAACCCTGTGTTTTAGATGAGGAAGCTAAATTTGACAGAGAAAAGCTAGTGGCAGAAACACGCTTCAAGGTCAAGTCAGCTTGGGCTCCTAGTAGGCCATGCTCATGAGTCCCAGGTCTTTATACCTGAAGGATAAAATCACTGAGGACTTCTACTCAGGTCTGTCAGAAATGGAATGTAGAAAAAAGGTACTGTATCAGTCAGTGTTTTACTAGAGAAACAGATATAACGCAAGATATACAAATGCAGAAGAATTTACAAGACTGGCTTGCAGTGGCCACACACAGAGTTGGATGAGGAAGTATGCAGAGGGCGTCTGCACACTGCAGACCAAAGGATTCAGTCCAAAGTCTGGAGCTCTCTGCAGTGTCCCAGGCGAGCCCATGGCAGGAAGCCAATGGGTTTGCAATGGAAGGCTGAAGAGTCTACACCAGAAGTGTATACCAGAAGTCTGACGGATCTATACCAGAAGCTAAAGAGTCTGCGCTGGAAACCGGGAGATGATGTCCAAGGTGTAATCAAAGATTGGAGCTCCTCTGAAGAAATAAAAGTTGATCCGTCCTTCCCCATTTCCCCTTTATACTATCCAGGGGAGGAGCTGCCCTAGGGTGGGTCTTCCACACCCCAGGGTGTGGAATTGCTGAGCCAGTTTAGTTAAGCACCTCTTAATTAAACTTCTCAAGTTGACACCATCAACCACCACAGATACCCATAACCTCTGTCATTTACCCATCTAAACCATTTCTAAGAAGCTAACTTTGGGTGAGGGATGATTTAGGTCTGATGGAGCATAAGTGCATTCAAAGATGTGCAAAGCGGCAGTCACCTATGCAGAACAATGCTCTTGCTGGCCCCCCAACACTGCATATCTTCACAGTCAGAATGCCCACAAACACTTACTTAGCATAGCACAGCCCCACGGTATTTGTCACATTCCTGCAACAGAGGAAAAATCTGCACAGACAAAAACTATTAACACATCCAGCAGACTCATTTACTTGTACATTTCTGAGCAGTTTCTTGGCCCCTGCTGAAGGTACCCCTGAGACATCTCAACCAACACAATGAAAAGTGAAACTACACACCTCAGATTTGTTAAACCAGGCTAGCACATGCACAAGGAAATATCGCCCCAAATAGCATTGCCATTAGCAAACAATATAATATTTATTGAGCACTCTACTGCCTGGAATACCCTCTTGTAACCAGTAAAGATTAGGAGTTAAAGGCCATAGGAAACATGAGTTTTCCTTTTGCAAATACAGGCAGGGAGTTCTTTATAGTTTTCCCTGTGCACTTGGAGAGGGATCATTTCCACATCATCTCAAAACCATGTCATTCTACCCCCAGGGCCCACAAGAGAGTCATTCTGACTCTATTACCCTCCAAGTCTTCCTCTAGCCTACACACAACTCCCCCGTTAGGAAGTGGAAGCAACTGGAAGCAAGGGAGGCTGAGGTTCCTTGAGGATGTGTATAGGCACAGCCCACAAGTCCTACAGAGATAGTACCTGGTTCTGCCTGGCACTGCGAGGCTTATAACTCTTGGTGGGGTTAGGAACGCATGATTGGGTCCACAAGTGGACAGAGAGGGTGCCACTGAGAATGGAGGGGAGGGGAATGCAGGGATGGATCACTAAAATCAAAATCAGTAGATTTGGTTCTGACCAAGCCAGCTTAAAAAAATCAAAGCACTGGAACTTACTATGTGAGTCCTTGCTGTGTGAGTATAAAGGCAGGCCACTTACATGCGGCACGCTCCCCTTCCTGGAGGCTTTCAATCAATGACTAAGGAGAGCTGGTATGAGAACACCCCGGCTCCTTCATGCTTCGTGTGGGATAAATTTGAGGTGTTGTGGTATTCTGTTCTATTGTTTCAAATAGCAGCTGTTTAGATGTCCACAGCCTCTCTTGAGCTTCCACTTTGTACATCCAGCATGCCACGGGAACCTCCACCTGGACATCTACAGGCACTTCAGACTTCACTTCTAAAATGAGATTCACACGTGTCTTCCTTTCTTAATGCTTCCCGTCTTAATGACTGGGTGCACCATTCACCCACCCACCGGAACCAGAAATTCAGCATTCATTCTTCCCTCTCCCTGTTTCTTGACCACTGTGATCACCCACTCGTCTTTAAATGTTGCAGACCTTACCTCCTAAGCTGTCTCTAGATTGATCCCCTCTCTCCCCATCCTCATTGTCAGGGGTATGGGCTTTACTACCTGCATTACCACCCCACACTCCTAGTTTCTTTGATGCTTGAAATTTTTCTCACTCCTGTCTACCTCCAACCTATCTTTTCTCTTGTGTTTCTCACTGGGTCAGGGCTTCCTCCTTCCTTACAGAACTAACATCTTACCTTCTTTGCCATTAGGCAATCTCTGTAAACTGGCTTCCAAAGCTCTTCACCATCCACTAGTCAAAGTCTGAATGGCCCATAGCATGGGTGGCTCTTGCTTCAGGCCCACATAGCATTTAGTGGTCATAATGCTATGACCATTTATGTGGTCATAGCAACCTGACCACAACTGTGCAAGAGGAGGGACTGTGATATGCTTATTCTAAAATGTACAACACTGACCCCAGTATACCCAGTACATTGTAGGGAGCCAATAAATAATTCTTGAGTGGATATAAGCTTTGTCGAGCCATGCTATGAAAGTATAACCATGGCATGTTAGTGGCACTGGGCTCCAGTCCACAGGCCACACAAGCCAGTGGCATGATCCAGGCTCTGTTCCCGGCTGTCATCCTGGTGGTAGTACGGAGAAAGAAACTCTCTCAGTGGTGTCCTATTATTGTTTTTCCTATTATTTTTCTATTATTGTTTTTCCATTGTGATTTTGATCACAATGTGTAATTGTGTATATTTTCACTCACTGTTTTTTTGTTTGTTTGTTTGTTTTGTTTTGTTTTTTCTCCGGTACCGGGAACCGAACTCACGACCTTGCGCTTGCCAGGCAGGCGCTTTTGCTGCTGAGCTAAATCCCCAGCCCTTCACTCATTGTTTTTTAACACACTTTCCACAAATGGCCAGAATCTTCTAGACCCATGCACAGAATGTCTCCTGAGACTTCCAGGGAAGACTTCTGTGTTGAAGGAGAAGGGCTCTGAAGTCACTGAGGCTCTATCTTGACCGTGGATGGTAAAGGCATTCATCATGCCCTGCCACATATTTTTAAATGCATTAAAAATAACAATATGAATGGATTGGAGGGTATAAAAGAAGATGATTAGATGCCTGGACTTGTTATGAATCAAATAGGACAAAAAGTTAATAATAGAATTCATGAAGGATGATCTAAAAATGCAGAGGATATATGGACAGTATCCAAATAAATTTTTTAATTATTACAATAAGAGATATATTTCTACTAATCCCCCTCAAAATAGCCTCAATTTAAACACACTTACGGGGGCTGGGGACTTAGCTCAGCGGCACAGTGCTTGCCTGGCCAGCATGAGGTCGCAAGTTCAATTCCCGGTACCGGAAAATAAATAAATAAATAAACACATGTATTCCATCACTCTTGCCGTTCATGTTCTGATGCAATTCTAGAAGCCCTCTTTAATGAGTATGCTTGTGAGAGGCGATCCGCAAATACAGTGAGTGGTGCTGCCTAGCTCCATCTGACAGAAACAGACTCATAAAAACATTACAGAGTGAACCAGATGTGGTGGCACGAGCCTGTCATCCCAGCACTCAGGGAGACTGAGTCAAGAGTATCGCCGTGAGTTCAAAGTCAGCCTGGGCTACAATAGTGAGTCCAAGGATAGCCTGAACTGCATAGAAAGACCCTGTCTCAAAACAAAACATTACAGAGTGGTCTTTTCAATCAGATTTCACATCTTGTGATTTTTGGCTCTTCCTCAAAATCAAAGTGATCATGCAAGGTAAAAGTTTTGGATAAATTTAAGACATTGAGGCAGCCAGGACAGAGCAACTAATAACACGCCATGAGAGAGGACTTGCAGCACTGTTTCACAAAGTGGCAGGAAGGATGGGATAGGTGTTCCAAGTGAGGAGGAATATTCTGAGTGGGATTAAAGACACTGCATCTCTTACTATAATAAATATATTTTTTAAAAAACTAGAGATTCACCATGTAATATCACATTTCAGGCTTTTGGCTAAGATCAAGTGTAGATTTGCCATGTATTTTGATCATACCTTATAGATGGTAAATATATTGTTGCTCACTGTAAAATCCTTGGTACTTTTCTATATGTCTGCAAATTTTTATAGTAAATGTTGAGGAGAATAGAAAGCATTCATGACAAATACTGACATCTCTGAAATGGAAACAAACGCTGACCAGGAACAGGATCGGAGTTTGATTCATGTTCTGTTCTCTTCTTTGTCTCAGTGTCCACTTCTGCGACAGTGCACAGCCCCAGCCACCAGCCCAGTGAGGATGACCTCCAACAGTCCCACGTTACTCTGCTTCAAACCCAAATGTTCAGGGAATCAAAACAGGCTCTTTCCAATCACATCAGCAGTGAAGAGGTTACTGTGTGTATGAAGCAGGGCAAAGAGCTTGTCCCTGTTGAATCCTTTTGTTATTCTTGAAAAAGGAAGTTGAACTTCCCCACCTGCAAATGAAACTAGAAACCTCTTCTCCCACAACCCCTAAAGGACTGGGGGGAAAAAAGATGGCTTTTGATTAAGCAAACTTTTTTTTTTTTCAAGTATAAAATATCTTTCTCTCCTTTCCTAGCTACTTGGCAAGAACATCAACTTTCTCTAAAAATGCCGAAAAGTTATGTGGGGAAACTTTAAGATTGCTCATTAAGAGGAAAATCACATAGTGGTAAAAAGAGGTTGTTCTGTGTTGTTTTCCAATCTTCTTGATATTTTGGATTTTAAGAGTTTTCTTCCAAAAATACTCCCTAGGTCAACGTACCTATTTTCCACGTCCTCAACTATGGGGACTTCTCATAACTTTGCAAAGAGAAGGCAGTTGTTTGTCTGGCCCAAGGTGTACACTGACTCTTTCATGGAAATACATCTTTCTACTCCTGTGGCCAGCTACCTTGCCGTTATTGCCACATGTTTGTTCAAGTGGTGAGGAAATATTAAATATCATGCATTCTCAGCAGAGAGGGGACAGTAATTATCAACAGATGGCAGCAGTGGGGGACTGAGAGGGCAGAAGAGTCCTCCCTGTGGGGGGCTGGTCCTGAGCCCAGGCCACGCAGTGGTTTCATCCTGGGTAGATTGAGGGGCTGACTACCGGTCCCTCACCCCACTTTTCACATTGTCTTAACCTTTCCAAGGCATCCATCCTAAACAACAAACTCCAGGCTCCCTCAGAAGTGGTAACATGTTGAACTATGTGATGGGATAGTTTAGCTGTCCTTAAGAAAGAGGAAGCATCATCAGGAGGATTTTGAGTGTTCTGGGAAATACACAGAATGTTTCTTCTCTGTGGACAGAATTCATTTCAGTGAGTTCATACCCAAGACTCGTTCTGGTCACATACCAGGAACATAGGAGCAAGAAGATATCAGCCTCATGCTTGAGGAATGAATATCTAGAGAAAAAGACAGCGCTTATAAAACAATATACCAAATGCAGCCGTAAAGCTATATGTGCTAGGTATAGAGTCAGAGGAAAAACTGTCATAATTTAACTTATAGAAGGCAGGAAGACAGTATAGAAAACCGGAATGGTGAAACAACTGTCAAGAAAAGCTTTAAGAAGAGGTAATATCTGCTGTGAGCTTGTAAATAAGAGCACTTTTGTTCTCCAAATGCACCCAGCAACCAGTATTCAGCCCTGAAGGAGATACACAAGTTCTCTGCCCTAATGAATCTTCCAGTCAGAGGAAGAACGCAGAGAAGAATTCTCCCAGCAGGCTCGGAGCAAGGGAAACAGACTTTCTTCAGCCCATGCATTTATTAAACCAATATTTGTGCCAGGGCAGCAGCATAGGAAATGCAACTGAACAAGACCGGCAGAGTCTTAGCCTTTGTGGAATTTACTGACCCGTATTACGGATGTTGAGGACTTCAACAATATAATAATATTTGTTATACAGAGACTTCTGTGGATGCTTGTGGAACCTAAGACCTTATTCATAACTTAGTGAATTCAATGCATGAAAAAGTAATCTGGACTTTTTTTTCTCCTTTAGATGATGGGGACTTGGCAGATGTGTGAAAGAGGTAGAGTGGCACAGATGAAGGATCCTACAAAAATCCCACTCACGCTTAAAATCACTGCCAGAGAAAAGTGAAAATAGACTTCCACCATGGTCCTCACACCAGTGAGATACTCTGCATGAATATTTAAAGAAAAAGAAAATAATGACAAAGAAGTAAACATTATAAAAGGAACAGAAATCTCCCGTACGCTCCTTCCTCCTCTGGTAGCCTCCCTCTCTGAAATGTGTAAATTGTATTTTGATATTCATGCTTAAATTTATTTACTTTTTTTTTTTTCTTTTGTTTTTTTTTCCGGTACCAGGAATCGAACTCACGACCTCGCACTTGCCAGGCAGGCACTGTGCCGCTGAGCTAAATCCCCACCCCCCGCATGCTTAAATTTAAACTTTTCCAATTTTCTAACAAGTCTAACTTAGTCAATACTTCCATTATCCCACCAAAAATGTCAGAAAACTCCCCATGTTTTAACTACCCACTTAAAGCCAATAAAATAGTTCTCTTCTTTTGCTTGTTATCTAGACATTACTTTTATTATTTTGTTTTCTGTGTATTTTTTATCTTATTGCATAACCAAGATACTCTTCTATTTTCTGTGTTTGCCATTTTCATCTGCATCCATTCTTTCTTTATGGGCTTCCTCCTCTACACTAGTTTGTCTGGATATAAAACTATCATTTATAACTATTGCCACTTTTTACTTTTACTTTTTTACTTTGAAGTTCTTCTTGCATTGTCTCCTGGCATCTACCCTGACAAGGATAGCTTGTGTGTTTGTAAATACTTTTTGTTGATCTGCTCTTCTTTCTTATATCTTTATGGCTGAATTCTTTAAAATTAATATTCTACAACTTTCCTATGGTGGTTTTGGTTTGGCTTTAGTTTTTATTTCTCTGACTCAGTTCTCTTTTTTTCAACTCTGAGAAATTTATAGCCACTATACTTTCAAAAAAATCTCTATCATTTTCATAATGTTTATTTTCAGAGTTCCTTTTAATTTAAGGTACATTAGTTAATATTATCTTCAAATCTTTTTATAGTCTTCTTCCTACAGTCTGAAATCTGCTCCCTTGAGTGATTGATTTCTGTCATTGTATTCCTGATCTCCAAATTACTTTTGGAAATTTTTAAATGTGTACATTCCTTGTTTAGCTAGTAGCCTGTTTATGTTTAAAATATCTGGACTGGGGATGTAGCTCAGTGGCACAGCACCTGCCTGGCAAGCGCAAGGGATCTTGCGTTTGATTCCTAGTACCAAAAAAGAAAATAGTAAGAAAAAAA